GGGTGGGGTCGTCACCGATCCCCGGAAATTCCAGCAGACGCCCCCCCCCTCTCCTCCCCTCCCCTCCCCCCGCCGGCTCCTTCTCCCGAACAAAGAGGGCCGGGCAATCCCGCTCGCCGGCGCTTTGCACCGTCTCAGGGGCACCCTCGCCGTCGTGGGTGGTCCGGGTCGCGCGCGGGGGGGGGCAGGGTCCCGCGTGGGAGGGGGCGCCGGGAAGTCGGCAGGGAAGGAAGGAAGGAAGGAAGCATGCATGCAGGCGGGGGTCCCTCCCGGCCGAGCCCCCCCGTCCCCCCGGCGCCCCCTTACCTCCTCCCGGCGGCGCGCAGACGGGCGAGGCGGCAGCCGGCGGCATCTGCTCCGGAGTGACTCACGGGCTGGCCCGGACGGCGGGGCGGGCAGAGCCCCCCACGGCGCAGGCAGACCCGGGGGGAGGAGGAGGAGGAGGAGGAGGCGCCCCGCGTGGGAGCCCGCCCAGGCCGGCTGGAAGCGCCCCCGAGCGCCCCGCCTGGGCCGCCCGGAGCCCCTCGGAGGCCGAAGGAGGGGGGGTCTGCCCTCTGCACGCGCTCAGAAGCCGCCTGGCTCGGCCCTCTAAGAATGCCAGTCTGAAATAGCCCTGGCACCCTCAGTTCATCCTGAGAAGTGCCCACTTTGGTAGGATTGATGGATTGGATGGTTGATTTATTACGTTGCCTGCCATGCGGTTGGTTTCAACTCTTCACTGTCCCATCAAGGAGAGAAGTAACCTGGAACTAAGGAGAAACTTCCTGACAGTGAGAACAATTAACCAGTGGAACTCCTTGCCTCCAGAAGCGGTGAATGCTCCAACACTGGAAGTTTTTAAGAAGAGACTGGACAGTCATCTGTCTGAAATGGTGTAGGGTTTCCTGCCTGAGCAGGGGGTTGGACTAGATGACCTCCAAGGTCCCTTCCAACTTTATTATTATTGTTATTATCATTATTATTATTATTATTAATAATAATAATAATAATAATAATATCTTTTTCCAGGATGATCTGCCCTTGGCCTGGTCTTCTAAGAGACTCCATCCAGCCTGTAGCTGCTCTTCGCCCTCCTTTCACCAAGAGAAAAGAGGGGCAAGGATGAACTGGGGGGCCCTGGTGCTTCTCTGAGCCTGGGGGTCTTCTTTCAGACCTTTCGTTTACATTTAGGCAGGAAAAAACAAAGGTTTAAGTACAGATTAGGTGAGACCTGGCTTGAAAACAGCCACTGTGAAAGGGACCTTGGAGTCCTGGTGGACGATCATTTGACTGTAAGCCAGCCGTGTGCAGCAGCCGCCAAAAAAGCTAATACAATCCTGGGTTGTATAAACAGGTGTAGAATCAAGATCACTTGAAGTATTAGTACCGCTTTATAAAACCCTAGTGAGGCCACACCCAGAATACTGCAGCCAATTTTGGTCACCAAAGCACAAAAAAGATGTTGAGTGTTTGGAAAAAGTCCAGAGAAGAGCAACTAAGATGATCAAAGGCCTGGAGACTGAAACATATGAAGAAATGGCTGCAGGACTTGGGTTTGGCCAGTCTAAAGAAAAGAAGAAATAGGGGAGATATGATAGCAGCGTTCCAGTATTTGAGGGGCTGCCACAAAGAAAAGAGGGCCAGGTTGTTTACTGAAGCACCAGAGAGAAGGATGAGAAACAATGGTTGGAAGCTGATCAAAGAGAGAAGCAACTTGGAATTAAGGAGCACTTCCTGACAGTGAGGACAATTAACCAGTGGAACAGCTTGCCACCAGAAATTGTGAGCGCTCCATCACTGGAGACTTTTAAGAAGAGGCTGGACAGTCACTTGTCTGAGATGGTATGGGTTCTCCTGCTTTAGCAGGGGGCTGGACCAGAAGATGTCCAAGATCCCTTCCAGATTCTATTCTATTATATTCCTTATTTTAATTCTATTCTATTCTATTCCTTATTCTCTTCTCTTCTCTTCCATCCCAAAATTCTATTCTGTTCCGTTCCATTCCATATTTTCTATTCTATTCTATTCTATTCTATTCTATTCTATTCTATTCTATTCTATTCCTTATTTAATTCTATTCTATTCTATTCCTTATTTAATTCTATTCTATTCTATTCCTCCCTATTTCCACACAGTAGTTGTCCAGTCAAGCAGAAAACAATACCTAGATCAAGGAACTGTAAAAGAGAAAAAGCACACAGACACACTGACGCTGGCAGAACAAGCCACTGTATATAAACAGGAAGCAAAACCTCCCTCCTTCATACTGATGGTGTTACCTAATCAGGTAGCGAAATATCTGTCAGAAAACAAGCTCAGAGAGCATCAAAGATTCCTTTCATCTTTGCTGCCATTATGGGCAACCAAGAAAACAGATCTGGCCCAAAGGAAGCGGCGATGGCTCAGCCCCTAATGCAGGGGTAGGCAACCTCGGCTCTTTTATGACTCGTGGACTTCAACTCCCAGAATTCCTGAGCCAACTCTGGTGTAGGGCAGTGGTGGTGAACCCATGGCACGGGTGCCAGAGGTGGCACTCAGAGCCCTCTCTGTGGGCACACGCGCCGTCGCCCCAGTCCTAGGCCTTCAGCTGGGTTTTATAAAACCTTTTCGCTTTAGGCCTCCGCCGCCGTGTGCAAAAAAAAAAGGTTCAATCAATCAGTCAATTTCAACTTCTCATGGGAAAAAAAAAGATCTTGCAAAGTTGGAATTGACTGAACTTTTTAGTCCCACCCAGTCTGCCGTTACCACCACAGCCACGCCCACCCAATGGGCCACGCCCACCCAGCACTCGATGATGCATAAGTGGGTTTTGGGTTGCAGTTTGGGTCCTCGGTCTCTAAAAGGTTCACCATCACTGGAATAGGGTTTCCTGCCTGAGCAGGGTGTTGGACAAGATGACCTCCAAGGTCCATTCCAACTTTATTATTACTATTATTCATTTTTCCCAACAGGTTCTAGCCTACCACCTCCTCATATCACCTAAATTATGTGAGCTTCTGGGACACTACACATCCTCTTCACAACCTGTTTTCCTTGTTACCTTCTGGGAGGAGGGGGCTTCGTGGTATCCGAAGCAGAACATCCAGATTCAGTCACAGTTTCATTCCATACAGCATTAACCTTGCGAATGCTCAAGCTTCCTCCTTCCGTTATATATTCAGGATGGACAGTATTTCATATTTATTTGTTACGTATATGTAGGGGTGTGGGTCTATACATATGTTGTTCATAGTATGTTTAGGTGTGTGTCATGTATGTGTTTTACTTTGAGAGCGGGCAACTAAATTTCATTTTTGATGTGTGCCATTATGCCCGCAGTATAAAAATGACAATAAAGGTTATCTTATCTTATCTTGTCTTATCTTATCTTCTGCCTCTCATAACCTCCACGAGGGAGCAGCTGGCCTCAATTTGGTCCAAGCCTGATGAAATGATCGTGGTCATTCTGAGTAGCTGCCTACTGGTAGTTCTCAACTTTTTGTGGACGTTTTTATTGTTTGGGTGTCTTTTAAATTGTTCCAACTGCTTTAAAGTTCTAGACTTGTAAACTGCTCACTTAGTAGAGCTGGGCGGCCATAGAAATTGAATAAATAAATAATAAACAAACGTATAACCGTTCATTAGGGACTGTCCAAAGTTACCAGGGCACTGAAAAAACTGACTTATGGCCTTTCAGGTTCATATACTTACAGCTATTGTGGCTATATAGTAAACCATAGTCTAATCAAGAAACTATCAAGAAGAAAAGAACACTCCCGCCCACACTGATAGGGCAAGCTATGATATATAAATAGAAAGCCAACCTCCCTCCCTTCTAGCGCTGATGATGTTCCCTAGTTGGGNGGGCACTGAAAAAACTGACTTATGGCCTTTCAGGTTCATATACTTACAGCTATTGTGGCTATATAGTAAACCATAGTCTAATCAAGAAACTATCAAGAAGAAAAGAACACTCCCGCCCACACTGATAGGGCAAGCTATGATATATAAATAGAAAGCCAACCTCCCTCCCTTCTAGCGCTGATGATGTTCCCTAGTTGGGTCGTGAAACGTCTGCCAGAAAACCACCCAGCTCAGAGAACATCATGGTCATCTTCCTCCTTTTCCTCCTCTTCCTCTTTCTCCTCCTCCTCCTCACAGACCCCCTTCCCTTCTAGCGCTGATGATGTTCCCTAGTTGGGTCATGAAACGTCTGCAGGTAAACCACCAATCTCAGAGACATGCAAAGACTCCAGTCTTCCTCCTCCTGTCCCTTCCTTCCTTCATTCCTTCCTTCCTTCCTTCCTTCCTTCCTTCCTCCTCCCCTCCCCTTTTCCTCCTCCTCTTCTTCCCCCTCCTCCTCTCCCTCCCCCTCCCCCTCCTCCTCCTCCCCTCCCTCCCTCCTTTCCCCCTCCTTCTCTTCCTGGCTGGAGAATTCTGGGAGCTGCGGTGCTCAGCCTTTGGCCAAACCGCCTCCCTTCCAGAGGGCATGAATGCCATGCCAGGACGCCACTGGTTAATCATCCATCACCCTCAGAGGGCTTTTTGAATCACACAGACATTCTTTGCAAAAGGTCAGCAAGGAGATTTGGCCAGGAGCAGCCCTCCAAACACACCCTACACCAGTGATGGAGAACCTTTTAGAGACCGAGGGCCCAAACTGCAACCCAAAACCCACTTATGTATCGTTGGGTGCTGGGTGGGTGTGGCCCATTGGGTGGGCGTGGCTTTGGTGGTAACTGCAAACTGGGTGGGAATAAAAAGTTCAATCAATCAATTCCAACTTTGCGAGATCTTTTTTTTTCCCCCGCAAGAAGTTGAAATTGATTGATGTATTGAACCTTTTTTTTTTTTGGCACATGGCGGCGGAGGCCTAAAGCGAAAAGGTTTTATAAAACCCAGCTGAAGGCCTAGGACTGGGGCGACGGCGCATGTGCCCACAGAGAGGGCTCTGAGTGCCACCTCTGGCACCCGTGCCATAGGTTCGCCACCACGGTGGTAGAGGGTATCCTGCTTGAGCAGGGGGCTGGACTAGAAGACCTCCAAGGTCCCTTTCTATTCTATTCTATTCTATTCTATTCATTGTGTTTTAATTTTATTCTATTCTATTCATTGTGTTTTAATTCTATTCTATTCTATTCTATTCTATATTCTATTCTATATTCTATTCTGCATTCTATTCTCTTCTCTTCTATTCTAGACCCTACTCCTCTTTTCCTGCCCTGTTGGAAACCTGGAGAGGGCTGCGTCTGCCCTAGTCCCAGATAAACACTTTATTATTCCACACAAGCGACAGATTCTGTGAGGCCCAGCCCTAGCTGAAGGGAAAGGAAGACAAATTTAATGAATAATAAAATATATGATCAAAAGTAAAACAAAACAAGAACATTATTTTTAAAAAAAAACAAAACACATGTTTCTGTGCTTCGTGTTTTAATTCACTTTTTAAAGGTTTTTTTTTCTCCTAGTTTTATTTTACTTTGTATTTTTGGAGTTTATACTTTAATTTTCTGATTAATTTTTTTTAAAAAATAATAGAATGTCCCAAAGGTGCTTTTTCTATCTAGAGGGCTTTTTCCTGGGACTGAAGATGGGATGTGGGACCCTCCACCAAACTGACTTCTCAAACTATTAAAGGGCCATAAAAAACACCACCAAGCAGCAGCATATTTGGCCAGCTGAGTCCACCTGGAATAAAAGTGTAAATGGGTCTTCCGCACAGCCAAAGCTAATAATAATAATAATAATAATAATAATAATAATAATAATAATAATAATAATAATAAAGTTGGAAGGGACCTTGGAGGTCATCTAGTCCAACCCCCTGCTCAGGCAGGAAACCCCATACCATTTCGGACAAATGGCTGTCCAGTCTCTTCTTAAAGACTTCCAGTATTGGAGCATTCACCGCTTCTTAAGCTGTCTTAAGTCTCTAGTCCTCATGGATCCTGCACCGCGGATCTGAGGCCCTAATCCCCAAACAAAGCCACTCATTCATTTGATTTATAAGTCCTTTAATAACAAAGCCGTTGGTCGGCTCATTAAAAAAAAAAAAAGGCAGAAAAACAGTCAGTCGGCCACATCAAGCGAGGACTCCACATGGATGGATTGGGGAACTCGCGGGACTACAACTCCCACCGCTCCGTCACTAAAGACCACAATTCCCATGACCCCTCGCGATCCCGCCGGCCCTCGCAGCCCCTCGGTGCGCACGCGCACCTCGCTTAGTGTAGCCGGCCACGCCTTCCTATTATTATTATTTTTTTTCCCCTGGGCGGGCCTAGTTAGCGCGCGCCCTCCTGTGTGAGTCCCGCGTGGCTTGGCCGTGCGGCTCTCGCGAGATTTGGCGTTATAAGCGCAGGCGGCGCTCACGCGGCCGCCTCTTTTCCGCCGAGCCAAGATGGCGCCGAAGGTGAAGAAGGAGGGTGAGCGCTGAGGGGCTCTGGCGGGAGGGGCGCCTGCCTTACCCCCNCCCCTCAGAATGGGTCTGGATGGCCCCCCGCCCTCTGAGACCCTCCCCTCTCCCCCCCCATTTAATCGCGTCTCCCGAGTCTCTTGCTGCTGGATCGCAGTGCCCATCATCCCCGGCCGGTCGAGGCCTGTGCGTAATTGGCAGGGCCTCATTGAGGGGGCTATTGCTGGGGATCACAAAGCCCATCATCCCCCGCCTGTCGAGCCCTGTGGGTAATTGGCAGGGCCTTATTGGGGGGGACTATTGCTGGGGATCACAGCGCCCATCATCCCCAGCCGTTCGAGCCCTGTGGGTAATTGGCAGGGCCTCATGGGAGGGGGGAGACTATTACTGGGGATCATAGAGCCCGTCATCCCCGGCCTCTCGAGGCTTGAGGATGATTGGCAGGGTCATTGGGGGGGCAATTGCTGGGGATCACAGCGCCCATCATCCCCAGCCGTTCGAGCCCTGTGGGTAATTGGCAGGACCTCATTGAGGGGGCTATTGCTGGGGATCACAAAGCCCATCATCCCCCGCCTGTCGAGCCCTGTGGGTAATGGGCAGGGCCTTATTGGGGGGGGACTATTGCTGGGGATCACAGCGCCCATCATCCCCAGCCGTTCGAGCCCTGTGGGTAATTGGCAGGGCCTCATGGGAGGGGGGAGACTATTACTGGGGATCATAGAGCCCGTCATCCCCGGCCTGTCGAGGCTTGAGGATGATTGGCAGGGTCATTGGGGGGGGCAATTGCTGGGGATCACAGAGCCCATCATTCCCGGCCGGTCGAGGCCTGTGGGTGATTAGCCGGGCCTAACGGGGGCAGGCCATTGCTGCCTCTCTTGCCCCCTACCCTGGCCTTTTCTAGCTGATAAGGAAGATGGTTATTTGGAGGAGGGGTGGATTTTGGGGTCGGTGGAGGGGTGAATGTGCTCTTTGTGGAAGTTTTATTTATTATTTAGTAAATGGCGTAGGACGCATGCTTTTACATGGGGGGCTTTTGTGTCGTTTTGTGCATGGGGTGGGGAACAGTCCCAGAAGGAAAGGGTCCTTCCAAGATCATCTGGTCTGGCCCTCTCTATTCAGCACGTGCTTCCAGCAAAGACCAGGCCCCATTCCAAGGAAACAAGTGTTGAATTTGATTGATTGATGATTGATTACATTTCTATGCTACTCATCTTCCCCCACAGGATGGTTCTGGGCCATTTGATGAATGGAAGAAAAGCTCTTTCCCCCCCAGGGAATTATTCAACCGGAGCCTTCTCCTTAATTTCTCCTCCTCCAGGGATAATTGTTTCATCTACTTCAGCGGCTCCCAACCTTTTCTGTACCCCTCACCCCTAGAACGCTTCTGGTATATTCTCGCACCTCTTACAAAAGTTCAAAATAATGGCAACGAATTATCCATATAACTATAATTTTGAAAACCCAAGTTTTCACACCCCCATTTGGGAACCCCTGATCTACTTGATGTAGAGAACCAACCTAAAAACTAAGGAAACATTTCTTGACGCGTGCCTGGCTGAGGAATTCTGGGAGTTGAAGTCCACAAGCCCTAAAAGGGCCAAGTTGGAAGACCCCTGATCTTGCTTATCTTCTTGGAGCTGTTTTTTCCCAGATTAAACCTGCCCAGGGCCTCCATCTGTTCTCCCAGGCCTTCCCTTACGACCCTGGGGACTCTTCTCTGGACATGTTCCAAGTTTGACAAGTGTCTTGCCAAAATGTAGTGCCCAGATTGCGGGGGTTACCATCTTGGTGGTGATCTGAGTTTTAATCGCTTTCTGCTCAACCGCATTATTCACGTTTGCACTTCACAGATGGTGCCCCTTTCCCCCCAGGATCGAGGCTGTGAATGGTTGTGATTGTAACCACGAGGAGCTGATGCATCTTGATCCTGGGCAAAGCCTTCTGCCTTTCGGGGCTCCCCCTGGCCTGTTCCCCAGTGGGCTAATGAAGACCTCCCTCCCTCGCCCAGTTTATGCCATCATCAGGTTCCCCCTGACCACGGAGTCAGCCATGAAGAACATTCTCCTAGGCTAGCTGCGGGGATTCTGGGAGTTCAAATCCACACATCTTAAAAGATGTTGAAGTTGAATGTACTCTGACCACATTCTCTCACAGATAGGGTTACATCCTATAGCTCACTTTAATTTGTGCCCCTCGAGTTTCTTGTAACGCATCTTTCGCTAAGCTGGCCCTAAAGTGCTTCTCCCCCCCCCAAAAAAAAGGCAACTGGACTTTCTTGGCTTTAATAATAATAATAATAATAATAATAATAATAATAATAATAATAATAATTAATAAAGTTGGAAGGGACCTTAGAGGTCATCTAGTCCAACCCCCTGCTCAGGCAGGAAATCCTATACCATTTCAGACAAAGGGCTGCCCAGTCTCTTCTTAAAACCTTCCAGTGTTGGAGCATTCACCGCTTCTGGAGGCAGGTTGTTCCACCGGTTAATTGTTCTGACTGTCAGGAAGTTTCTCCTTAGTTCTAGGTTGCTTCTCTCCTTGATCAGTTTCCATCCGTTGCTTCTTGTCCTGCCTTCTGGTGCTTTGGAGAATAGCTTGACTCCCTCTTCTTTGGGGCAGCCCCTGAGATACTGGAAGGCTGCTATCATGTCCCCCCTCGTCCTTCTCTTCATTAAACTAGACATCCCCAATTCCTACAACCGTTCCTTATATGTTTTAGCCTCCAGTCTCCTAATCATCTCTGTTGCTCTTCTCTGTACTCTTTCTAGAGTCTCAACATCTCTCTTACATCGTGGTGACCAAAACTGGATGCCGTATTCCAAGTTTTATCTTTGAATTTTTCTTTGAAAACATTTGATTTACCTTGGTTAGAATGGAAGAAGCTTCTTGGATGAGAAGCAAAACGTTTTCAAAGAAAAAAAACAACACGGTCCAAGTTGCCTTTTGGGGAAAAAGGCACCTTTGGGAAAAAACTATGAGCTGAATGATGGAGAATCTCCATGGACATTTGGCTAGGCTGCCACCCATTGATGGGTTCATCCAGGTTCATCAGCAATCGTGATTCTTGGTGAGGGGTGGGGATTGCAAATCTGTTTTTCTTTTGTCAGGATCAGATCCTTAAGTGCTTGTGGAGGGAGCAGAGACATGGCCCAGCTATAAACTGGATTCTAAACCTGCTCCCTGTTTCTTCCTCCCGCAGCTGTCCCAGCCAAGACGGAGGCAAAGTCCAAAGCACTTAAAGCGAAGAAAGCCGTGTTGAAAGGGGTCCACAGTCACAAGAAGAAAAAAATCAGGACATCGCCCACCTTCCGGAGACCAAAGACTTTGCGGTTACGGCGACAGCCCAAGTATCCCCGGAAGAGCGCCCCACGGAGGAACAAGTAGGTCGGCCCTGTCTCCCTCCCCCCCCCCAGAAAGTCAAAGGGCTTCCACTTGACCCTAAGCCGGGGTCTTCAAACTTGGCCCTTTGATGACTTGTGGACTTCAACTCCCAGAATTCCTCAGCCAGGAGGCTTTAAGACAGGGGTCTTCCAACCTGGCCCTTTGATGACTTGTGGACCTCAACTCTGCTGAGGAATTCTGGGAGTTGAAGTCCACAAGCAGGGGTCTTCCAACTTGGCCCTTTGATGACTTGTGGACCTCAACTCCCAGAATTCCTCAGCCAGGCATGCTGGCTGAGGAATTCTGGGAGTTGAAGTCCACAAGAAGGGGTCTTCCAACTTGGCCCTTTGATGACTTGTGGACCTCAACTCCCAGAATTCCTCAGCCAGGCATGCTGGCTGAGGAATTCTGGGAGTCGAAGTCACAACCAGGGGTCTTCCAAATTGGCCCTTTAATGACTTGTGGACCTCAACTCCCAGAATTCCTCAGCCAGGATGCTTTAAAATAAGGGTCCTCAAACATGGCCCTTTGATGACTTGTGGACCTCAACTCCCAGAATTCCTCAGCCAGGCACGCTGGCTGAGGAATTCTGGGAGTTGGTGCACAAGCTGGGTCTTCCAACTTGGCCCTTTGATGACTTGTGGACTTCAACTAGATGACCTCCAAGGTCCCTTCCAACTTTATTGTTATTATTAACTCCCAGAATTCCTCAGCCAGACACGCTGGCTGAGGAATTCTGGGAGTTGAAGTCCACAAGTCATCAAAGGGCCCAGTTGGAAGACCCCTGCCCTAAGCCATTAGAACAGGCCTGCCCAACCTGCAACCCACAAGATCGTACACTTTTAACATTACAGGATTTTTAGCAATAGTGACTCTATTATGTATTTAGTTTGTGGCCCAAGACGATTCCTCTTCACCCGTTGCGCTCCAGGCAAGCCAAAACGTGGGCGAGGCCTGCCTTCGAAGCTGGCTCTTCCCCCAGGGATTGTGTGTCTGAATGGGTGTGTGATGGAACCCTCGTGGGGTGGTTCAGTTTATTAGGCTGTGTTTTCCAGACAACCGTTTTTGGATTGCATCGCTAAAGGGGTCACCAGCCGGAAAAAGGAGGTCCTTATCCCGCTGTATAGGGCTTTAGTGAGACCCCGTTGAGAATAGTGTGTTCAGTTTTGGAGACCGCACTTTAAAAAATGATTACTGGATGTCCAGTTCACCTATCAGATGATGGCCCCTGGTGTAAACTCCGGGAAGATCTTCTAGGGTAGGGATCCACAACCTTGGCCACTTTAAGACTGGTGGACTTCAGCTCCCAGAATTCTGGGAGTTGAAGTCCACCAGTCTTAAAGTGGCCAAGGTTGAGGACCCCTCTTCTAGGGAACCAGAGAATGCACGTCGTGGGCAGTCTTGCCCAGTATATTCAATAGTTTACATATTAACACCACAATCACAACAAGGGGAATCTCCATCCCCACTGATAGAGGGCAGAGCTACTTCTTCCGATGCCACACCTAAATTCTGGACCATTCCATCCATACAGAGCGAGGCAGGTTAAAACCAAGTGGTTTGGAAGAGGGATCCCTCGGCAGAGGGATCTATCTATCACTTTGGTAGAGGGATCACCAAGAATCGGGGTAGCGCCAAACGCTGCATTGCAGGCAGACTCTGCCCAAAATCTGGAGTTCGATGCTGACCGGCTCAAGGTTGACTCAGCCTTCTGTCCTTCCGAGGTCGGTAAAATGAGGACCCAGATTGTTGGGGGCAAGAGGCTGACTCTAAACCGCTTAGAGGGGGCTGTATAAAGCAATGTGAAGTGGTATATAAGTCTGAATGCTCTTGCTATTGCTATTCCACTCTACAGACAGTCTAGTAGCTGTTTTCCATACTGGCCGACAGGACTGTGAAAATGTGCTTTTCACCGAGTCTCCATTTCACATCTTCAGACATTGCTATCAAGTTCCACATTGTTTTGGCCTGGAGACTGTGGGGCTTCTTGAGCTAGTACAACAGCTAGGAAGATATTAGGGACTGTCATCTAGTCCAGGGCTTTTCAACCAGTAGTAGGGGTACCACCTGTGGTACATTGGCACCTGGCAGGTGGTATGTGACCATCCTAGAAAAGTGGTAGCAGGAGAGGGGAATGAGCTGAACCGGAGGCAGCACCGCACAAGCCTGAGCGAGAGACGGCTGGAGCTGCAGGGCTGTCAGGGCTCAGTGGAAGCGCCAGGATCAGTGCCAGGCTCCAGCTGATCGGCGCTTCTTCGGGACTGTCAGGGCTCAGCGGAAGCGCCAGGATCAGCATCAGGATCCAGCTGGAAAGCAGCGCTGATCCTGGCGCTTCCACTGAGCCCAGAAGAAGCGCCGATCAGCTGGAATGTTGCAGCCTCTCCAGGGTCTTGTGATTTCCATTCAGATGCCTGGCAACTGATTCATATTTATGACGGTCACAGTGTCTGAGGGTCATGTGAAGGGACCAAAACCTGCTGCAACCACCCAGCAGACGGGGGGAATAAAAACCAAACACCCCCCACCCCACCTCCGCTGCCAATCCTCAACAGAAATGCTCACCACAATGAAAACCTCGGACAGGAGGAAGAGCGCGGCCGGGCGGGCAGGCAGGTGTCTTGCTCGGCTGTGGCTTGGGGGGCACTTTTTTCAGTGCCCTTGTAACTTCTAAGAGTCACTAAGCGAACCGTTGTAAGTACTTTATCACTTTTTTCCTTTTTTTTTTTGGTCATCAAGTTTTTGACACCTTGTTAGGCAACTGGTGGTACTCGGATGTTGCCATATCCTAAAAGTGGCACAATGGGTGAAAAGGTTGAAAAGGCCCTGCCTTAGAGAAAGCTGTTCTGCAAGATAGGGCAGAAATGAAACCATCTTGCTTATTCCCCACCTGGTAGCCCTCCCGCTCTGCTCAGGGCTGTCATGTTTCTCTCCCCACCCCCTCCTTCCATTTCTCTCCCCACCCCCACCCCCCAGATTAAACCTGCCCAGGGCCTCCATCTGTTCTCCCAGGCCTTCCTTTTACAACCCTGGGTACTCTTCTCTGGACATGTTCCAGTTTGCCAGGTGTCCTTGCCAAAATGTAGTGCCCAGATTGGGGTGTTACCATCTTGTTGGTGATCTGAGTTTTATTTAACCGCGTTATTCGTGTTTGCACTTCACAGATGGTGCCCCTTTTCCCCCAGGATCGAGGCTGCGTGTGATGAGGCTTAAGCGACCAAAGTCTGAGTGGTTGTGATTGTAGCCACAAGAAGCTGATGCACCTCGATCCTGGGCAAAGCCTTCTGCCTTTCGGGGCTCCCCCTGGCCTGTTCCCCAGTGGGCTGACAAAAACCTCCCTCTCTCCCTTCCCAGGCTTGACCACTATGCCATCATCAAGTTCCCACTGACCACGGAGTCAGCCATGAAGAAAATTGAGGACAACAACACCCTGGTCTTCATCGTGGACGTGAAGGCCAACAAGCACCAGATCAAACAGGCGGTCAAGAAGCTGTACGACATCGACGTGGCCAAGGTCAACACCTTGATCAGGTAGAGAGCAGCTNCGAGTCATAAAAGAGCCAAGGTTGCCTACCCCTGCCCTATGGGATGGTGGGGGGGGCTTTCTTCTAGGAAAATCTGCTTTGGGGGCCTCGAATCCACCCGGACAGAGGGCTAACGAGAGTTTCTGGTTCTTTTTCAGATTGGAATAATCTGAGCGGAATCTGGCCAGAATGGCTCAAAACGCGGCATTTGTACAAGTAGCTTACCCATCATTTTACAAAACTGTTCCGAGGTTTTACAATAAATTATCCTGAACGCCCCTGCGGTTTCCGCCCTTTTCTTTCGAAACGGAAGAAATTTCCCAAATTGTTAACGTTCAGTTTTTGCCCCATTTTACGGCCTATCCTGCCACGGTTGTTAAGCGAACCGCTGCGTTTGTTAAGTGAGTAACAGGGTTGTTAAGTGACTCCGGCTTCCCCATTAAGCTTGCTGGTCAGACGGCCGCAAACGGGGATCGTGGGACTCCAGGACACTGGCAACCGTCGTAAGTACGAGTCAGTTGCCAAGCGTCCGAATTTTGACCAGGCGACCATAGGAATGATGCAACAGAAGTAAGTGTGAAAAATGGACGGAAGTCACTTTTCTCAGGTCACTAAAAGAGTTCCTGAATAACCTGGCTTGATCATAAAAAGGTTAAGTCCTGGTCAAGAAGACCAGAACCAGATTTGGGATCTCTGAGAGAAGCTTCTAAGCTGCCAAGGGATCCTTTGAGCCAAAGTGATTCAAGAAAGGGATTCCTCAGTTGTGTGACGGCAATGATGTAGGCGATTTAGATTGTGAAGGCTGGTCTTGGTGGGCTCGGTAACCCTGTCCCACCCCCCAAATTTAAAAAAAAAACTAATATAATGGTCAGACTGGCTAAGTTGGAGGAATATCGGGCTTTTAAAGCGAGAGATTCAATTCCGTGTCTGCAAATCCTCAGTGACGCATCATTGTCCAGCCTTGTTTCCTAGTATTTAATAATAATAATAATAATAATAATAATAATAATAATGCAAGAAGATTGCACAGACTGACTACAAGCAGCGGCATGACAAAGTAGCAACAACGGTGCATTGGAAGATCTGCAAGAAATATCATTTGCCTGTAAGCAAGAACTGGTGGGATCATAAAATAGAGAAAGTCATAGAAAATGATAAAATTAAACTGCTCTGGGACTTCAGAATTCAAACAGACAAGCACCTGCCACATAACACCCCGGACTTAACAATTGTCGATAAGAAAGACAAAAAAAGTCTGGATAGTGGACGTGGCAGTGCCTGGAGACAGCAGAAGAGACGAGAAAGAACTGGAGAAGATCACAAAATACAAAGACCTACAAATAGAAATAGAAAGACTGTGGCAAAGGCAAGCGAGGGTGGTACCAATAGTCATAGGCGCCTTGGGTGCAATCCCAAAACAACTGGAGCACCACTTGGGCACCATCATCGGCATTGACAAATTCCCCATTAGTCAATTGCAAAAGGCGGCCTTACTAGGAACTGCTTCCATCCTGCGACGAGATCTGTGATATCAACCATCCACATCTACCTATCCCAGGTCCTGGGTAAGGACTCGATAAGTAGACAAAATGACAAATCCAGTCTGAACATCTGGCTGACTGTACGATGATCCATAATAATAATAATAATAAAGTTGGAAGGGACCTTGGAAGTCATCTAGTCCAACCCCCTGCTCAGGCAGGAAACCATAGACCATTTCAGACATTTGAATCCCTCGGCCTCATTTAGACCGTGGCCACTTTTAAGACCTGTGGACTCCCAACTCCCAGAATTCCCCAGAGGTGAGTTGCAGCCTCTGCTCCTCTGCCCCTTCCAAACCCGGCAGTGCCCCACTGGCTTTGTGTTTCCGGCCGCCAGCCTCCCCCAGGTGACCTCACCTGTCCTCCATTAAATTTCCACCTCGGCCCGTCTCACCTGAATGACCCGGATCGATTGACACCATCCTAAGAAAAGTCGTACAAATACACGGATCGAGTCCCAAAATAGCAAGAATGGAAAAACAGGTGCAAACTTTCAGGTAAAAAGTTAAAAAAACCAAAAGGCTAGGTCAGGGGTGGGGAACCTTGGCTCTTTTATGACTGGTGGACTTCAACTCCCAGAATTCCTGAGCCAGCCATGCTGAGGGGAAAGGGAGAGGTTTCCAAGCTGAGCCAGGCTGGCTCAGGAATTCTGGGAGTTGAAGTCCAGGAGTCATGAAGGGGGCCATAGTTTCCCTCATGCTGGCTCAGGAATTCTGGGAATTGAAGTCCACCAGTCATGAAGGGGCCATAGTTCCCCCATGCTGGCTCAGGAATTCTGGGAGTTG